TGTTATTGAATTATAGATTGTTTTAATTTTGTGGAAAAAATTGTTTATAAAATATTTATAGATTATCGTCATAGTTTTTAAAACAGTCTGTATATATGATAATATTCTACTGATTTCACCACTTGAATATTGTAACATTATCCGCAATTAGTATCTTATATTTGTGTCCGCAATTCGTATGTTACCTTTTTAGATTTCGTCCGCAACTCACATGGTTTTTGTCACTTTGTCCGCAATTCGGAAACACCGCGTAAAATAACATATAAATGATACACAGCGTTCCTCGTTACATCTTATCAATTTCAATCGCCAAGGGTAGGAGGTACCTATTATTATATAATTTGTATTCCTTTAAATTACCAAAACTGAATGTAAAATATGTTATGGGCTATGAATTCCACGTATTCATAAAACCAATATTATAACGAATAGATATAATAAGTAACAAATTATAATAGAATATGTATATTTTTAAGTAAAATAAAAATATTTTCTCAACTTAATTGGTTGACGGCCTGTATTAATCTGTTGTTATTTTCTAATCATTTGTCTGTTGAAAGTACAATATTAGTGGCGGGTGAACAAGCTTTCATACGGGACCACCAGGTTTACGTTATAGCACCGTGATAACATTATGCACATACGTAATGAACGAATAAATAATTATCAGTTATCACCCACATACCACATTTTATAGCTGCAGTTCTTCAGTTGGTTTTAAACAGTCGATCGAAATTAAAAGACGACTTACCCCAAATAACGAATGTACAGTATATAAACTTGAAAATGCCACGTATGTTCTCATTTTGGAACTCAGTACCGTCAATGTAACTATCTATAACTTTTCCAAAAGTTTTTCCTTGTTACCTATGATTGCTATAACAGCATATTATAATGCAGACATTACAGGAAAATGTTTTTGAGTACCAACAAGACATTACGTCTGTTGTAAATGATGATGCTAACGGTACAATATAGGAATAACATTTCTATTAAAATTGGTAAGCAATAAATAATTCTTTTGTTAATTAATACGAGTATAAATAATACATTATTTTATTGTTGACTTCAATCGATGTAGGTATTGATAATGGGTGGGCGGTGGATCATTAATAATATATTTTACTATACTGTGCATCTATGGTACGATAATTTATGTACATGTGCGTAAGAGGTACAACCCGCATAATACGCATTGCATATTATATCGTATATTTTATTATATTGGCCTACTATACTATTATATCATGCGTAATAATGAACGTCCGTGTGGTGAATAACCTACCCACTATATAATACACTCGCAGCTAACTCCGTACAATATATTATTATTATTACGGGGGTACAAAGCGGGGTTTACTAAAATATTATTTTCAAACATTTATCCGGTTTTTAAGTATTCAGGGCAGAGGTCGGTACGCGTCTCGTTTATATTACCTTCTTAGAATTTGATTTCCGCGGTAACGCATATTATTCGATTAATACTTCTGTTGGTTGTTGTGATTGGCGGACACGACCCGAAGGAAATAAATTAAATAAAGAAAATCAAAGAATTTACTCATACATGTATGCCACAAAATTCAAGGTATTGTAATGTCGTGCTCGACACAGTGGTGGTAAAACGATTTTTTTTTTTTTTTTTTTTAATTTAAATTAAGCCTCGGCAACAATGGCCATTGGCAACAATGAGTTTAATTCTAAATTATTTACATATTGTAATTTACATATCAAATACTATTTATAAGGTTGGACTTATTAATAAAGATTATTATTTGTCTTATGTTGTCTGGGTGGAGGGCTTCTGACAGAATGCTTGAGATGCCTGCTTCCCGTCTCTCAGTTTCGTATGCAAGACATTCGACATCAGGAGAGTCCACAGCTCCATATTACTAGCAATCAGACGCACTCAAAATAACCTCAAGGTAATGAATCAAATCAATGACACCCTTAAAGACATACCATTCTCCCACCTGGACGTTATCAAGAACGAAACCATACAGACGGCCCCTTGGCTATTAAATATCCCAATCAACAGAGAACTAAGTAAATATTCGAAGAACGACACCGCCCCCATAATTTACAAACAACATCTACGTTCAATAATCTCCGGGTTCCACGATTTTACCGAAATTTATACGGATGGTTCCAAAACGGAAAACGGTGTTGGAGCAGCTGTAGTAATCCAGGACCACGTATCTATGCTGAGACTCCCCAACTTTTGCTCAATATACACAGCTGAAGCAACTGCAGTTTAATTTGCCTTAGACCTAATTAAAACTAATCACATACACAAAGCAGTAATCCTCAGTGACTCACTTAGTACCTTGAGGAGTATTGAAAATATCTACAATCCAAACGAGATCTCCAGGAAAATCCAGAACCAGATCTATAACCTTACACACACCGGCTACTCAATTACCTTATTATGGATACCCAGTCACAATCAAATTCAGGGAAATGAAAGAGCTGACCAAAAAGCACGCCAAGCAATTACATCAACGGATGCCATTAGACTTAATCATTTCACCCTACACGACGCCAAACTCATAACTAGTATAATAACTAACAACATATGGCTACGGGCATGGAAACAAGGTACATCCTAAAACGATTTTGTCAAGGGGGTAGAGGTATGGTTGATTTTTTAACATGTACTATATTATGATTGTTAAAAATATAATCGATTGTTATTAGATGTTACACATTGGAAAAAACGTCATGGGGGATTTACTGCTATATCCGTGTTAACCTCTGTACCACTACAGCTGTAATGTATGATTATATAATGTTATATTATTATGATTTTGTGATCATGAATGGTTATACCTACCAGGTAGAATTTGCATAAAATTCGTCATGTAGTAGTTGACTCGTTTCGTATTTATGTGTTATTATAAAATATATTACGGGAGACACGTGACGGTTTGCATTTTACAAGTGTTGCAATACTGCGTAAAATCGAATTATGATAATATAATATTTCGAAAATGAAAAATACGCTTTATTATTCTGCATGCACACTAGTGCGTATGAAAAAAAATAATCGAATAACCTTCCTACCACCATTTTATTTTTATTATTTTTATTATTATTGGAAGTGCGGCCGCTTTGCAGAATCTCATTCATATTTCGCTCAACCCCCATCACTGCTGGATTACGAAACAAAAAAACAAGTTTTCAATCTCAAACTCAAAACGTAAAAAATTGACACGTCCCTATAATGAGAACCTATACGTATGGACGTATGGTACATAGATTTCTTGAGAAAAAAATGTCTTCGATATGATAAATGATATTATCGCATGTCGGGCTTATTGAAACAACAACAGGCTAGATATGTGAATGCAGCTGTAAATTTATCCTACATTTTACCATTTTTTTTTTACTCGTAAATTATTTTTTACCCAAAAAGATGTTGAGTGACCCCTCTAATAAAATGCAAACAAAAACGCTTATCCCAAATAAATTGTATAGAAATATATTTTTTATCAACTGATAATAAATACCAATACAATACTTCAGGGGTGAAAATCCAAAACGTACTATTGCCAAAATAAAATTAACAAAATCGAGTGATATATAACGATCCTTATAGATAAAACATAGATAAATCGATTGGGGTCGTCTGAATACATCGAAACATGCTTGTAATGAAACGCCATTGGTTGATAATTATAGTATTTTATTTATTTAAAACCAATGTGCTCATTATCTGAGTTTATACAATATGTATTAATTTTGTAACAGTATTTTCTTTTATATTGTATTAAAGTTGACTCCGGAGAGTGTACAGTCAAAATAGGTTATTTGGGGATTTACATATAAGGGGGGGGCAGTTTACATTCAACTCACGACTTGGTGGAGTTTGATCTGATCCGTGTGTGGTGTATTCGTATTCGATATCAGACACTGTAATGGGTCCTTGGACAGCTTCACTGACAGCAATGTGCGCGGAGGTGATGCTCTGCAATATGGTTGTCGGCGGGATAGGAAAAACTCGAAATACTCGACCGACACGACAAACCAAAATTGCACAAGTTGATTGAGCTGCACACTCTACTCGAACGGCGGTGATACAGTTCCAAACGACTGGCGGTGGACTACGGGTATATGTCGTCTCACGGCACGAGATACTAGTTGGTACGCGGCGGCACGGCTCTGACGGCGGCGGCTCGACGTAATAACCGTGTTATCACAAGTAACACGAGGGACAGCGGATGATACGCGGCAGCACGGCTCGGACGGCGGCGGCTCGACGTAATAACCGATTGTTATTATAATACGAGGGATAGCGGATGGTACGCGGCAGCACGGCTCGGACGGCGGCGGCTCAACGTAATAACCGATCGTTACTGGGGTGTGCCAGGGCAGACTATATATTGTATCCGTGTCTAACGAGTTCAAAACTCGTCCGGCTTACAATAAGTCGTAGGGCGTATGCTGGTTTGTCGAATGCTTAGTGTCCGTGTCTAACGAGTGGTGTGCTCGTCCGGCTCACTAATGCATTCGACACAGCGGGGAAGTGGTGGTTTGGACAGCGTTTTCGAGGTCTATATATGCTATTCGCTGATTATCGATGGTGTGTAAAATGTATGAAATGCTTTTGCGGATTTCAATGTTTTCTTGGCAGCTTAAAATACATTAAAAATACCCATCATGTAGCGTAGGTTCTGTAGAATTTTATGGTATTATGAACATGGTTTTAAGTTGCGGGGTTTTTCATGAACGACGAGTTTCCCCGGGGCCGCCGTATCGTCTGTATTGGCATGGCGATGTGGGCTCCGCCTGTCGGACGTCGATTACGGTGGTCATGACGTTCTGGGCATGTTTGTAGCGCGAGAGCGCGTGTTGGTCGGCGGGCGGATTGTTTGGTGACGGGACACAGATCGCGCCACTTATATAGGTACCGCGGTTTTGTTCCGTTACATTGTCCCCTTTTTGATTCGACCAAAATATTGAAATTTTGAAGTATTTTTGGCAAATCAAAACTTGTCTGTGGATTATTGCTGATGTTGGCGTTTGAGGGCCTTTATCTGTTTCAGTTTCTCTCGGTATATTTGCTTCTTCATCTGTGTCTTGGATACCTCTTCAAACCCTTTTATGAATTTTTTTGCAGTGAATAGTCCCTCCTTGAGGCTATGATAAGATCCTTGTTGCTTGTCCCACAGGGTTTTTATGGTGCTATTCATCATTTCGGTTTTTGAACTTTCTTCTTCTGGATCGCTTTGTTCTGTTTCACTGTCGCTTTCAGGTAATGGTGATGCGGCGATGTCAAGGATATCGGCATGTACTGGCTCGATTTCATCGTCATCTGTAACCACGGTACTCATGGAAGAGGGTGTTCCCGTTTCTTCCTCTCCCTCGGAGGTTTCCTTCTTCTCAGTATTATCTGGGGTGGTCGCTGGTGATGTATCAATTACGTACACTTTCTCGGCGGCAAGTTGACACTCGGGCATCGTCCATGTCGGTGTTATATGTAAGCATAGTATGTAGTATATAGTTATATTAGAGTATAATATTTGTATTATGATATGTATACTGGCGTACGTGACTACGGAGCCGGACGCTCGACCAGGAATCTGCTGATCCAGCGATTCCCACCCTGGCCGTTGTACAGAAGGGCCCCTTGGTCACGGCCGCCTCGGCAGTCTCGTAGACACAGGCGTCCAGTCAGAACCTCTTTTCATTTTTATACAGAAAATCATTTTAATAAGTCAATAAACACATCTTTTAATCTTTTAAACAGAATCTTTGCATTATTTCTTTAAAACACGTCCCTAATCTCTAAACTAGGAATAACAGCGCGCCGGTACACATCATTTGGTGGCAGCGGGAGTCAACAATTTTATTATAAAATAAATTGTTGAAGAACCTACGTGTACTACCGCCTTTCCATATAGTTGGAGAAACGGACAATCGTCAGAGCATCAAATATCAAGAGACTCCAGAGCATCTTAGAACCAAAACGAAGAATTTACAGAGCATCGAGATTTTCAAGTACGTGTATTCATGTTATATACAATACGACGTAGGAACGTCGCAAACAAATTACAAAAACCGCAAACGTCAGCACCAGCAACGGCAACGCCGAACGCCGCCGCCGCCGTCGCTGAACCCGTCACCACCACCGAGAGCCGCCCAACGACGAACGTAACCGGAGACCGTCGTGTCAACACGACGCATCAGCCACACCGATCGCGCACGGAGTGTCAAGGACGTCAGCGCCGCCGCATTCGTGATATATCGAAGACGCCGCCGCCGCCGCCGTCGACGCAATAACTAGGTCACAGCTGTTGTCATCGCGTATCAATCAAAACAAACGGTTATCACCATCAACAATGTTATCATATATAGCCGCCTCGTTCTTGTAAGTTACCACAATTTTTTTTTTTTAATAAATCGCAACGCATAAACGCAGGATAATTTATTCGGTTGTGCAGTAATATAAAATTAGTAATAGTACGATTTAAGGGACGGGAAAAATAAATCGAAATCAATATAATAAAAGCGATCGTAATTAATTTTGTACTATTATAATTTTATATTATTAATACTTTAATTTTGGTGTACGCTTTTCTTTTTATTATTATTTTTTTTATTTTTTTTATTTGCTTTTATTTTTGTTATTTGCATGGAATCGGAAAGGTAATTGAGGAAATTAATTAATTAATTAATTAATTCTATATTGTTTGGTTATTTACTCGGGCTATTTATTTTATATCAATCGAAGTCTATGTCAGATATTGATCAAAACGAAACCAGTAGTTCTGAAAATCTTATAGATCTAGAAAGTAGTGTTAGTGTCCCTTCTAGCGGGGAATTATACGAACCTTCTGGCGAATTCGACTCCGATGATAGTAGGTACAGCAATATATCTCAGTCGGAACATGTTTTAGATAGGACGAACAATTCTATAGGTATCATTGACTCGGTTCTCGAAGACGCGAGAAACTTATTTAAATTAACTCTTAATCAAAATCAAGCAGTAAAGAAAATAATAATGTCAAAGTTTATGACAACACACCAAGCTTTAAACTTGATCCCTTTGTTCAATGGGGAAAATGCTGATGATAGTTTTGCATTTCATAATGCATGCGAATATGCGTTACAAAGCATCGACCCAGCAGAGAAAGAAAATCTAATTAGGGGTATAACAACTCGATTAATAGGCAAGGCCATACGTCCATTTAGACATAAGAAACCTACCACTTATAAGGAACTTAAGGAAACTTTAGACCTCACTGTTAACAAAAAACAAACGTTAACGCATTTACATTCGAAATTATCAACATTTAAGATAGCTTCGGGGGAGTCTATTCAGCAATATAGCGACAGGGCTGAGCAATTATATTACGACATTATAGAAGCATCCATGGCAACAAATGAAATTTCTAATACCGACGATTTATCCAAAATAACAGAAAGGCAAGTTTTATCAGCTTATACCGAAGGGTTACCGCATGATACAAAGATTTTAGTAAAAGCTAGTAGACCGAATAAATTATCGGAGTGTGTCCAAATTGCATTGGAAGAAGAAACTTCACGTAATAATCAAAAAGAAATTCGCAAAAACATTAATGATTATAAAAACAATAGGACTGATTTTAAGCCAAGTAATAGCTACGGAAGCAAGACAAATTCGGTACAAAAATCTAACAGTAGACCACCTGATGCATGTTTTCGTTGTGGACGTACAAATCATCAGGCAAAACAATGCCGTGCATCAGAAGCCGATCAAGCCCGTTACAGAGAATCGCAAAATAAGAGTAAAACGGAAACAAAAGCTATCAGAATAGTTACGTGCAACTATTGTAAAAAACCGAACCACACTATAAGTGAATGTCGCAAACGAAAGTACGTTAATGAACGTAAGGCACAGGAGCAACAAAGCACTTCGTCGGGAAACGAACAAACGCCGGGTCCAAGTGGCGCTCGCCCGGTGGGGGATATCAAAACAGCCACTCTGAACCTGCAAGGGCTTTCTATTTCCAGGCAGAATTAATTAATAAGCATATCACATTAAAAATTCCTCAGTGCTTGACAAATAGTGTTAAATTACTTATAGATACTGGTAGTGATTTAAATATGATAAAATTATCCACTTTAAGAAATGAAGTCATGGTTGATGAAACTCAAAGTTATCAGCTAAAAGGAATCAATGAATACTTAGTACGCACGCTAGGTTCCGTAATCCTCAATTTAAATCTTGGCACTGAAACCCTTACAACCAAATTCCAGGTAGTCCATGACGATTTCCCAATCCCTCATGAAGGTATTCTAGGAAACCCGTTTCTTACCGAAAATCGTATCGCAATAGATTATTATTCGTCCAAAATCTTTCAAATGAATACCGATCCTCTCAAACTTTCGCCGCGTTCAGAAACCATCGTACCAATCGCTAGCACGAGACCGGAAGGAACAGCTTTAGTAGTCCATTCACAAGTTCTACAAGGAGAAAACGTCCGTCTCGGAAATGTGGTAAACACAGTTAAGCATGGAAAAATATTAGCTATTGCCATCAACACTTCAGAAGAGCACATTACGATACCACCTTTAAATATAGAAGAAATTGAATTTGAGGAGTTCCGAGAAACCTCCACGTTGATCGCGACAAATACTGACGAAATTACGGAAGACACGCATCGCATTAGTCGCATTCGGGAAGCTATACTATATCGAGAGTTAAATGCGGAAGAATCAAATAGTCTCTGGAAGGTGATTAGCGAGTACCCAGATATTTTCCAGCTGGAGGGGGATTCATTCCCTTCTACCGATGCAATACAGCACGAAATCCACCTAAAGGAAGGAGCGAAACCTGTCAACGTTCGACCGTATAGATTGCCATACGCTCACCGTCAAGAGATTGTCAGACAAATGGAAGAGTTAGAAAGTAACAATGTTATACAGCCTTCCGAGTCCCCTTGGAACGCACCACTCATCGTGGTCGCGAAGAAACCAGATGCTCACGGAAACCCAAAATACCGAGTGTGTGTTGATTTCAGACGCCTTAATGAACTGACCGTTGGAGATGCATACCCTATACCTAGGATAGACGAAATCTTAGACCAATTAGGCCGGTCGAGATACTATACCACGTTGGATTTGGTTAGTGGATACCATCAAGTATCAATAAAAGCAGAAGATCGTCAAAAAACAGCGTTTTCTACTGACAAGGGCCACTATGAGTTTCGGAGAATGCCATTCGGGTTAAGCGGAGCTCCTAGTACGTTTCAACGCTTAATGAACACAGCTCTAACAGGGATCAACGGGACCAAGGCCTTTGTATATTTAGACGACATAATTGTTTACGCTTCAGACTTACAGGACCATGAATCCAAATTACGGGATGTATTTTCAAGACTCAGAAAGTTTAATCTTCGCTTACAACCATCAAAGTGTCAATTCCTACAGAGAGAGGTGATATATCTAGGACATCTCATTACAGATAAAGGAGTCAAACCTGATCCGGGAAAAATCCAATGCGTACAAAACCACCCAGTTCCCAGAAATACAACGGAAATCAAGCAGTTCTTGGGGTTATCTGGCTATTATAGGAGATTTATTAAAGGATACAGCCAAACAGCGAAACCACTTACAGCACTTTTAAGCAAAGACGTACCATTTGAATGGTCGACCGAATGTCAAGGAGCTTTTGAAACGCTCAAGCAGAAACTCGTAGAAAAAAAAAAAAATGAAAAAAATGAAAAGAGGTTCTGACTGGACGCCTGTGTCTACGAGACTGCCGAGGCGGCCGTGACCAAGGGGCCCTTCTGTACAACGGCCAGGGTGGGAATCGCTGGATCAGCAGATTCCTGGTCGAGCGTCCGGCTCCGTAGTCACGTACGCCAGTATACATATCATAATACAAATATTATACTCTAATATAACTATATACTACATACTATGCTTACATATAACATGGGTTCCCAATCGTCGGATAGGATTTCCGGGGAAGGTGCTCTGTAACCGTCTTTGTTCACCACCTGGAGTGTTTCAGGTAATGTCCAGTTCGGCTTGGCCAGGTACTTGGTCCTCTTGGCGGCTTCGTCGCGGAAAAATTTGGCAACTCGTTTCTTCTGATTTGTGTCGAGATACCTGTCGATATTTGTCAATTCTCGTTTGCTGATCAACCGGACAGCTTGCAGCTTTCCCAGCGGGATTTGTATACGCATTTCCATTCTCTTTTTGTCTTGTTTTCCTACGGAGGGGTGCGTTAGTTACATATACATAATTGATAGACATGTAGTTAGTCTCACAGGCAGCACAAGTTATTTACATTTCTATTTACATTTATATTTACAGTTTACACATTTTTTTTTTTTTTTTTTTTTTTTTTTGTAATTATTATTGATTATCTGAAGTAGGCTGAGCGGGTGGCTCATATTCGTGGTACTGCTTTATGTTTTTGTAGTTGTATGTTCGTGGTTGTCCTGTTTGGTTGAGTACCGTCACTGTATTGTTCTCATGTACCTCGCAGATTTGGTACGGTCCGTGGTACAACAGAAATAACTTGTGGGTTTCATGGTCCTCGGCTGAGGATAGCCTATGCTCCTTGACAAGTATCTTCATCCCTGGTTCATATTTTGGAAACTGCTTATCCCGATCCTTACGTTTGTTTCGTAGCTGGGCTTGTCTCTTAGTTCTTTTCATAACTATCTGTACGATGTCTGGTTCCGGTTCGGTAGCCTGCTGCTCCGGAAAGGTTACCAGTTTAGTAATGGACAGAGGGGTACTCTTTCCATACATGATGTACTGCGGTGTGTATCCGGTTGTTGTATGTGTTGTGTTATTAATCCAGAATTCCACGTTATCTAGCCAACGTAACCAATTTGTATGTTGCCGATGACAATAGGTGCGTAGTAGTCTCCCGATCTCTCGATTGGCACGCTCGACGGGATTACTCTCCGGGTGATATATCGTTGTGTGGAGATTCTTGATTTTTAATCCATTCATGACTCGATCCCACTTCTGACTGGTAAACTGCGTTCCATTGTCCGTTAGGATTTTCTGGAATAATCCTACAGTTGGGATATAGTCATTAATGATGCGCTTGATGATAGTATCGGTGGTGGCTCGCTTGAGTGGATAGAGCTTGATGTACTTGGAGAATAAGTCGAGGATAGCTAGGATATACCGACATCCTCCCTGTCCCCTAGGCAGTGGTCCCATGAGGTCCGCCGAGACCATCTCGAGTGGTTTCTCGGGAAGTAGACTCAGTGTCGGTCCCCTGGCCGTGATGTTGGTAACTTTAGTCCGCTGACAGGTGTCGCATGTTTTGATGATTCGCTTGACTGTGTGATACATGCTCTGGAATTGGTGGTGTTGTTGTAGCAACTGATATGTTTTGTAGGTCCCACAGTGTCCATAGATCTGGTGGGTTTCTATGACTAGTGATTGGACCAGTTCTCTCGGTACCAGTACCTGGTATTCCCCATTATTGGATTTTCGGAATAGTAATTCGTTGTGAATTATGATATTGTTGTCCGCCCGCTGGTTCATCCGTTGTCTCAATTTTTGAATGTGTTCATCGGACTGTTGTAGTGTGTGCAGCTCATTGAATTGTTTCCTTAGTTCGGGGCTGTATTCTAATAGGGCGAGTTGGTTGATGATGATGGTTCTCGTATTTGCTGGAGTGTCCTCGATAGGAGATTGTGGGTACCTAGTCAGCGTGTCTGCTCCAATGTTCTCCTTACCAGGTATGTGTATTATTTCCAGTTGATATTCCTGGAGAAATGTGGACCATCTGACGAGCCTAGCGTTTAGCAGTTGGCATGTGTTAAGAAAGGTTAGTGAGTGATGATCGGTCAGTACCCTCACCTTGTGCCCGATTAAATAGTGTCGGAATTTTTTACACGCGAAGACTATTGCCAATAACTCCAATTCCGTGGTGTTGTAATTCCGTTCAGCTGCATTCAGCGTTCTACTGGCAAATCCGAGGGTTTGGTGTCGTCCCTCTTCACTTATCTGATATATTTCCACTCCAACATGTGTAGTAGAAGCATCTGTGTTTATACAGAATTCCCTCGTGAAGTCTGGGAACTGTATGATTATGTCCTCCAGGAATTTGTTTTTGATATTCTCGAAGGCGATTTGTTGCTGCGTTCCCCATTTCCATTTAGTGTCCTTTTTGGTTAGGGCACTCAATCGTTCCGTGTCCTGGGACAGATCCCTGATAAACTTGCGATAGAAGTTTATGAATCCAAGGAATGACTGGACCTGTTTCTTGGTTTTGGGCGGTTGAAAGTTCTTGATTACCTGGATTTTATCTGGGTCCATGGTAATCCCCTTTTCTGAGATTATGTGTCCTAAAAAGATCACTTGACTTTTGAGAAACTGTGACTTTTTCCGGTTGATCGTGATATGATGCTGTGCTAGCTTTTGAAAAATACTTTCAAGGTGCTGCATGTGTTCTTCGAAATTTCGTGAGGTAATGTGAATATCATCTACGTACACGGCGGCGAATTGTAGTATTTCTGGTCCTAGCACCTGGTCGAGTATCTTCTGGAACTCCGCTACCGAATTTATTAGGCCGAAGGGTAGTACCTTAAATTGGTAGTTTCTCCCTCTATGTAAAAAAGCAGTTATCTCCCTACACTCTTTCTTCAATGGACATTGCCAGTACCCGGCAGTAAGATCAATGGAACTGAGATATTTCATGCCACGGAATTTCATTAGCGTCTCCTCCATGTTGGTTGGGCACTCCCGGTCGGGGATGATCATTGTGTTGATTTTTCTTGCGTCCAAACATAGTCGGATGTCGCCATTTTTCTTCTCCGTGCAGACTATGGGTGATGACCAAGGCGACGTAGATTTTTCGATGATTTTTAATTTTAACATTCTTTGTATTTCCGCGTCTACTCTGGGTATTCGAGCTACTGGTATGGGGTATTGCTTTTGGTGAATCGGGTCCCCTGCCTTCACTCGGATCTGACATTGAAATTCTTCAATTCTCCCTGGTTTGTCTGAAAAAATCTCGTCATACTTGTCAAGTAGTGAACAAAATCTTTGTCTCTCGTTGCTGGTAAGAGTCACTTGGTCTTCTTCCGGGTCTTCATTTACCTCAACATTGAGCAAGTGTTCCTGTAAGCTGATTAATTTCGGTTTTTGGTTCGCAAATGGTACAGTGTGTATTGTTTTGTCAATCTTGAATTGAATAATTTGTTCGCTGAATTTGATTTGGGCGTTATATTTTTTTAAAATATCAGCTCCAATTATACCTTTTTCATTCAAATTTTCTACTTGTATGAAATTTGTCTGTATATATTCGTTTCCTATTTTACATTCACAAAAAATCTGCTTCGATACCTTGCAGATCTTTTTCCCAACCGCGTTACTGATTTGTATCCCTGTTACTGGAAGTTGTGGGATTTTCGGATTTCTGTTTGTGATACTATCTACCACCTCCTTAGTCAGTACGCTGATTGTTGCTCCGGTATCGATAAGTAATGTTATGTCTTCCCCTTCTATGGTACATTGAATATACGGGCTTACTGACTGATTGGTGGTATTTAACGAGTTGATAGCATGGTGTTCGGTATTACTTGGTCCTGCTTGTTCGTCGTTATTGGTGACCACCTGATTGATTTTTTCGGTCTGTTGTTGACCACTGGTTTGCGTGTCTCCCCGTTTGTCATTGTTGCGATATGTTTGGTTATTGCCCCAACGGTTGTTGCGTGGTGGCATATTGTTCCAGCCGCTGTTTCTTTGGTTGTTCCAATTATTATTGGTTTGGCCACTCGGATAATTGTTGTTGTTGTGTGAATCATTCTGGCTATTTTTTTGATTACTTGTTTTGTTTTCCGTGGGTTGATCATTTTGCCCCTCTTCGCTTAGTATTTTCATTGCTGTAAGTATGGTGCATTCGGGTAGTGACACTAAGATTGCCCTGAGATATCCTGGGTAGTGTCTAGCTATGTGCTTCACTATTTCATTCTCCGATAACCGTGGTACTTCGAGATGTCGAAGTTTGGTTGCCCATGTGGCGAAATGTTCACGGTAGTTGGTGTTGTTCGGTATGTGTTTAGTACTTAAGCACTGACTCCATACTTGTATTTGTATTTCCCTGGACCAGAATTCGTCGATGAACGCCTTTTTGAAGTCATCATAATTGGTTAGTTGGAATCGTATGGTGGAGAACCAACATGATGCGGCTCCTTTTAAGCAATCACCCACAATGATTATTTTTTCCCCGACATACGACTGTTTGATTGCAAAATATTCTTCTAGTCGGTACAAAAAATCTATTGGGTGTGCATCGCGGTTGTTTCCAAAAAATGTTGGATGCGATATTTCGGTATTGTGCATTTGTTCAGTCTTATTATTACCTTCATTATGCACTGGTTGTCTACTGTTCCGCTCGTATTTAAGTTTTACGTTGTTGATTTGTTCGGTAACTATTTCGATTTTTCTTTCGTAATTTTCCGTAATTTCTTCGATTTTCTTTTCGTAATTTTCCGTAATTCCTTCGATTTTCCGGCTATTTTCTTCTTCCAACCTGTTGATTTTTTGCAACAACTGGTTGACTAAATATTGACTGTTTCGTTCAACTTCTTCCTTGAACGCATTAAATGCTTCCTCGGTGACATTTTTCTTCGGAGCCATGTTCACCATGTAGTTTTCTTTTTTGCAAATTGACGTAGCTTTCCTTTCCAAATTTCTTAATTTCGGGGTCCGAAGTAGAATTTCTTCTAAATCGAGCACTGCAGTTGGGCGCCAATGTAATGAAACGCCATTGGTTGATAATTATAGTATTTTATTTATTTAAAACCAATGTGCTCATTATCTGAGTTTATACAATATGTATTAATTTTGTAACAGTATTTTCTTTTATATTGTATTAAAGTTGACTCCGGAGAGTGTACAGTCAAAATAGGTTATTTGGGGATTTACATATAAGGGGGGGGCAGTTTACATTCAACTCACGACTTGGTGGAGTTTGATCTGATCCGTGTGTGGTGTATTCGTATTCGATATCAGACACTGTAATGGGTCCTTGGACAGCTTCACTGACAGCAATGTGCGCGGAGGTGATGCTCTGCAATATGGTTGTCGGCGGGATAGGAAAAACTCGAAATACTCGACCGACACGACAAACCAAAATTGCACAAGTTGATTGAGCTGCACACTCTACTCGAACGGCGGTGATACAGTTCCAAACGACTGGCGGTGGACTACGGGTATATGTCGTCTCACGGCACGAGATACTAGTTGGTACGCGGCGGCACGGCTCTGACGGCGGCGGCTCGACGTAATAACCGTGTTATCACAAGTAACACGAGGGACAGCGGATGATACGCGGCAGCACGGCTCGGACGGCGGCGGCTCGACGTAATAACCGATTGTTATTATAATACGAGGGATAGCGGATGGTACGCGGCAGCACGGCTCGGACGGCGGCGGCTCAACGTAATAACTAATAACCGATCGTTACTGGGGTGTGCCAGGGCAGACTATATATTGTATCCGTGTCTAACGAGTTCAAAACTCGTCCGGCTTACAATAAGTCGTAGGGCGTATGCTGGTTTGTCGAATGCTTAGTGTCCGTGTCTAACGAGTGGTGTGCTCGTCCGGCTCACTAATGCATTCGACACAGCGGGGAAGTGGTGGTTTGGACAGCGTTTTCGAGGTCTATATATGCTATTCGCTGATTATCGATGGTGTGTAAAATGTATGAAATGCTTTTGCGGATTTCAATGTTTTCTTGGCAGCTTAAAATACATTAAAAATACCCATCATGTAGCGTAGGTTCTGTAGAATTTTATGGTATTATGAACATGGTTTTAAGTTGCGGGGTTTTTCATGAACGACGAGTTTCCCCGGGGCCGCCGTATCGTCTGTATTGGCATGGCGATGTGGGCTCCGCCTGTCGGACGTCGATTACGGTGGTCATGACGTTCTGGGCATGTTTGTAGCGCGAGAGCGCGTGTTGGTCGGCGGGCGGATTGTTTGGTGAC